GTCCCAGGACAGATCCTTGAGGCACTCCACTTGTCACTCCTCTCCAAGAGGATGAGGAACCATTAACAAGCACTCTTTGGGTGCAATCTGTCAACCAGTTATAGATCCACCTAACAGTCATAGGATCCAACCCACATTTTGTCAACAAGAATATTATGTGGAACCTCATCAAAAGCCTTACTGAAATCAAGATAAACTATGTCTACAGCATTCCCCTGATCCAGCAAGGTAGTAATTTTATAAAAAAAAGAGATAAGGTTACTCTGACATGACTTGTTCTTGAGAAATCCATGCTGGCTCTTAGCGATCACAGCCATCCTTTCTAAATGCTCAAGGACTGTCTGTTTGATGATTTGTTCTAAAGTTTTCCCAGGTATAGACATCAAACTGATGGATCAGTAGTTACCTGGATCCTCCTTTTTCCCATTCTTGATGATGGGGACAACATTTGACCACCTCCAATCTTCTGGCACCTCACCTGTTCTGCAAGAATTCTCAAAAATAATGGACAGAGGCTCAGAAATTACATTCTGCAAGTTCTTTTAGTACCCTTGGATGCAGTTCATTTGGCCCCGAGGACTTAGTTTCATTGAAAGAAACCAGGTATATGTATTATTATTTTCTTTGGAAAAACAAAAGTCCTATGAAGTGATTCAGCTCTAAGACTTTATTTAAGGTTTGGAACAAGACAAACTAACCAGCTCGCAGGCTGGTTTATATGTGCAACAACCCCGCACCCAAAACACACCCACACACAAGTGATTGGCTATTTACAGTGGCCGAGAGTTCCATAGGCTCTCGGCCGGGAGCCTAGCCTGCTGATAGGTGCCGGCTAGGATCCGCTTGTCCCATTGTTACTGCGAACGAAGCTCGGCCGCTTCGTCTGACTGCGTGGTGAAATGGCCACACACGTGGTCTGAGATGGATACATTACACTATTGAAAAGTGGGATCAGAAGAATTTGAAGCCCATTGTGCAGGCTTCTTTGATGCATGAATTTTGTAGCAGTATTGTGATAGTAAATTGGTGGCACTGAAATTATTTGTAACAAACCTGATGAATACATTTCTTTTCTCGTGCCAGATTTTTGTGAAAGTGGCTGAGTGTCAAGAAACTATCCTTGTTTAGCCATTTCTTGGCTTTGCATACTTCGGTTCAGGCTTATGGGCCTAATCAAATTACTGAAGGTTCCTCTCTGGGAATTTAATGTCATGCTGACTTAGGGATGCCAGAACCCTTGGTGTGGGCAGGGATCCCACAGTTTCAGGCACTCCTCTCCACTGCTGGCTAGCTGGCTGGCAGGGAAATTCTCCCCCTCCCCCCGAAAAAACAGGCAAGAAGTGGGAAATAAACGTGATGTGCCTATGTCACCCAGAAGTGACATAGGCACACTGTGGGGGGGGGGAATGCTCTAGTTTTGGGGCAAAATTCTATAGTTTGAGACCGGTTTCACCATAGAGTTTTGCCAAAAAAACTAGACATTGCCATGCAACATCAGCAGCATAATGATGTTACTTCCAGGTGATGCCATCGTGCTGTGTTTTGGGGCATTTGCAGTTTCCAGAGAGAGATAAGGGATGAGATGGAGTCAGACGCAGATGCAAATGAGATCATGGGCCTGAGAGCTTCAAGGCAAGACCAAGAAGGAGTTTCACACTCACATTTAATCTCGTTAGCACAAAGAACCCTGGGCATGGAAAGTTGCTTCAATATGTGCCAGCTGTAGAGGTATGTGGACACGTGTCTTAGCAACACACCTGATTGGCCAAACAGTATCGGGCCAGCCGTGGGCAGTCTGGCATAAAGCAAGACTAGTTTGAGCCTCCTTTTTGAGTGGCCAAAGGAAGGTGTCCTGAGCCAGAGATTGATTTATTATGGATATCAAGGACTCATTAATGTGTCCTTGTGCGTGATTTCAGCAACCAGGATGGACAAGGATCCAGAGCACAAGTAGTGACCTTCACAGATCCTAAGATCCTGTCAACATCCATCATGGTGACTGGGTCAAAATGGCCCACAATGTCCTGCTGCTTGATAGTTCTACCAAAGAGTTCTATAGCATGCTTTCTCAGATTCATCATGTCTCTTTAGACATTTCCTGGCCCTCTTTAGGTCACCCATCTCCATGGTAAACCATGGGGTTCCAAGCATGGGAGAGGATGACAAGGGGTAACATTGTTGCTAGCTTCTAGGATCTTCTCATTCCCAGCTTCTGGTTGCCATCAGAGATCAGCGGTCATCAGTGTGGAATTTGTCATGTGGGGTTCCTCAGGGCACAGTCCTGTTCCCCATGCTATTTAATCCCTCCGTAAAACTGTTAGGAGAAATCATTCTTAATTTTGGAACTGAGTTTTATCAATATGCTGACAACACCCAGCTCTATATCTCTCTACCCAAATCTCTTGGTGATGGGGTAAAGGTCTTGCGCCACTGCCTGACTGGTGCGATTAAAAAGCTAACAGTGAATAAATTGAAACTGAGCCCTGACAAGATAGAGTTAATGTTTATTGGGAAGGCTGAGGTCTTGAAGGAAATTATGTTTCCTATCTTCATTGGGATTCAACTGACCCTTGCTGACTTGGTTAAGAGTCCAGGGGTTATACTGGATCAAACATTAAAACATTTGCAAAAATAGCTTTCTTCCAACTTACTTTAAGGTTAGGTTTGGTGGAGGGAGGAGCAAATGGGCCAGCCCTGCACAGTGTTAATTCTGAGCAAGTTCAGTGGGCAGCATCATAAAATGCAGGGTGTTTTGTTTCTTCAAAGGGAAATCTACCATTTAAATACATTTGAACATACTTTTGAGGAAAGATTAATGTTAATTTTCCCCACACCCCTCCCTCATACATATTTATAATAACATTTTGATTACATTTAATGTTTGAGGGGGAGATGGAAAATTTTAGCTATTGAAGGTGGCCAAGAATTTTATTTATTTATTATTAAATTTATAGCCTTCCCTCCCCGCAAGCGGGCTCAGGGCGGCCCACAAATAGGGCAAATATGCCAATAGTTAAAACAATTAAAAACAAGATAAAACAATCAATCATTACATCAATACAAAGTGCTCAGGATGTTTCAAGAAAGTCTTCAGTAACAAGATGGCTTCCTGGGGATAGCAGTCCCAGTTCAGTGGTATCAGATCCACTCAGCGCTGTAGTTAATTTAACACACAGCCATCTCACCCCCCGATGTTACCCAACTCAGTTGTTGTTGGTGGTGGAGGTAGTGGTGGAGGTAGTGGCGGCTCCTACTTGAAAGCCTGGTGGAAGAGCTCCATCTTGCAGGCCCTGTGGAACTGCTCAAGGTCCCGCAGGGCCCGGATCTCCTCCGGGAACTCATTCCACCAGGTAGGAGCCACCACCGAAAAAGCCCTGGCCCTGGTAGCAGCACACCTCTTTCCCATGCATAATCTTATAAACCTTGATCATGTCACCCCTCAGTCGTCGTTTCTCCAAGCTAAAGAGCCCCAAGCGCTTTAACCTTTCCTCATAGGGAAAGTGTTTTCTTTTCTTTAACTTATTTCCGATTTTAAAAAAATAGAGAAACAAAACTAAGACAGAAGAAGTTCTGAAATACAAACTGCAAAGCTATTATAAAATGTCAGTTATACGAACTCAGCATCAATTTCTCATGCTGGACAGGAAAGCATTCCCTTTCCCAAATTTATCAGACATTTGGCCACGCAGTAGACAAGGTAGTTTGCACAGGCGAATGCATTCTACTGATTTCTCTAATGAATGCTCCTTCTGCAGGATTATGTCCTTCTTCTTGAGAGCCAGTTTGATGTAGTGGTTAAGTGCGTGGACTCTAATCTGGAAGAATCGGGTTTGATTCCCCACTCCTCCACATGCAGCTGCTGGATGACCTTGGGCAAGCCATAGTTCTGGTCAGAGCTGTTCTCTCAAGGACGGCTCTGGAAAGAGCTCTCTCAGACCCGCGTACCTCACAGGGTGTCTGTTGTGGGGAGGGGAAGGGAAAGGAGTTTGTAAGCTGCTCTGAGACTCCGAGCGAAGGATGGGGTATAAATCCAATCTCCTCCTCCGATCTGGGAGAACCGGGTTTGATTCCCCACTCCCCCACTTGCACCTGCCGGATGACCTTGGGTAAGCCATAGCTCTCTCAGAGCTGTTCTCTCAAGGACAGCTCTGGAAAGAGCTCTCTCAGGCCCGCCTACCTCACAGGGTGTCTGTTGTGGGGAGGGGAAGGGAAAGGAGTTTGTAAGCTGCTCTGAGACTCCAAGCAAAGGGAGGGGAATAAATCCAATCTCCTCCTTCTCCTCCTCCTTCTTCCAATTTTGAGCAAAAAATTAGTCTTACAGATGTTATGGCATTAGGAACGAATTCACAAATATCTTTAGAAGGGCATTTGACATGATTGAACCAAAAAAAACCCTTAGGGTCTAATGGTAGCTGTTTCCTTATGCCTTTATGCAGTTTTAACTGCAACTATGTTTTAATGCAATTGTTTGTTTTTATGTCAGCCGCCCTGAGCCAGCTTCAGCCGGGAGGGCGAGATAAAAATCTGATAGATAGATAAATAAATACATAGAGATAACTGTAGCGATCATATTCTGAAATGCGATCAGTTGACAAAAGTTGATGCCGGAATCAAAGTGCGTGAACTCATTCAAGTGCCACGGAACTTCTGCCTATTCTTGCTGCCGTGGGCTGCCGTGGCCGCCCTGCTGGAATGGCACATTTTCCTGTGCCCCTGTCTGTCAGCACTGCAGGGTGGAGGATCTCCCCTGGGGCTGTGGGGCTTCTTCTCTTCCTACATAAAATGGTCATCGCCATCGCTTGAAACAATGACTGTGTATTCCCTGCCTTCTTATCTGTCTGCCGGGACATCCTGCCATCTCTTTCCCCACTCAAACCTTTTGTCTTTATTTCTTTGTTTAAAAACGGGCCTCTCTGTGGTCATGGCTGCCTCCCTTCCGTGCATTCATTCTCGCCTCTGTGCATTTGCCCTAGGGCTCTTTCTAGCAATCCCTGGTGTCTCCCAGGCTGAAAGGACACTCCTCTCCTGAAATCCCATTCATGCAAAACTCCCAGGTGACCGCGGGCCCATCGCAAACTGGACGGCCGCGCAGGGTTGTTGTCAGAAAACGGTGGGCCCATAACCCTATTGGATGCAGTAAATAAGAAGCCTGGAGACTGACTGGTGGTAAAGGCAGAAAGTTTATAGTGCAGTAATGGTAACTATATACAGAGAATATACAAACTGTTGCACAGCATAACATACCTCGGATGAAGAGAGCTATGTCTCCCAATGTGGCTTATCAAGCCTATACATTATATACATCACACAGCCAATGAACATCAGGGCCAACTAATTACCCACTCCTAACTACCACAAGGAGCTCATTGTATTTATTTCCACAAGGAGCATTATTCCTAGTAGTGCAATATTTCACTAATATTTATCCCGTTGAAATAAAGTGGAAGATGTCTTTAGTTTCACTACATCTAGACATATAATCCAATAGGGGATTCTAAGGAAACTGATGCTGTGGAGTGCATCAGCCTGTGTGCAGTGGATTTTTGTTTCTGGGTGTGTCAGGTGGGATGGGTTTTCCTGGCTGAGAATGGGGGAGTGTAAATCCTCCACATTTCTTGTCCTTCTGCTTTCCCTCATCTTTTCCAGCTTTTCTTCTATTGACTTTCACGTCTCATAATGAGGGTCCCTCTTTCCCCTTCCTTTTTATTGGTGGTGGAACTGTTGTTGTAGCAAAGTAGTAATAAACACACACACACTGCTAATGAAGACAAAATGAGCCAAGCTATGAGCTCAATAACTATTCCCCCCTGTGTCCCTTTAAGTTGTGGCTACTGCCCACAGTTTGCTGAAGGTGGATGGAGCTTGACTCTCCCTTCTCCACACTTTCTCTGCCCTCAATTCAACTTTAGTACATCTTGAAGCCAGCTGGGAAATAATATGGCATGGGAGTGAAAGGTATGAGATTTTTTTTAGTCAGTTCTGGCCCCATACTGCTTTGGTTTATCCCCTTATTTCTGCACACATTTTTGTGGCTTTAGTTTTCACTTCATTTTTCCAGCTCCTTTGGGACCACTTTTACCCCAATCTTTTTCTGGAAGGCAATTTTGAATTGGCTTTTTCCTAGTGCATAAGGTTTCTATTGGTTTTCCTTGCCCTGCCCTTTCCCACCCATCTCCAGCCCATTTTTCAAAGACTGAACTGTCATCATGGTTAAATCACTCCTCTCTGCCCCTTGACAGAGGAAAATGAAGAAACTGAAATGTGGGATAAAATAAAAACACAATAAATAAACTTCATTTAAATATCTGAATTGCCTTTTATCAGATTACTATCTGTAACTGACCCTTTCTTGAAACCAAGGGGAGGGACCCACACTGCCTCCCTGATAAATTTGTAGAACTTGGTTGGTTTTGAGATATAAACTTTCACCTCAGTTACAAAATGTTCTTAGGGTAGTGAGTGTAAAGGCTTTGGACCACTGTTGTAAGTTTTGTAGTGAGCCTGAAGAGTACAGAGATCACTGAAACAGAAGGTTTAATAAAACAAACAAACAAAAAGATTTATTTATATCATCATCATTATCACCACCACCACCACCACCCCTTTCATTGGTATGCTCAAACAGTACAAAAATAAGGACAAGCAAAATGTACAGTTCAAGATTAAGAAGAATAGGCAAATATGTAGTGAATTCTCTTTAAAACTTGAAGTTACCAGGTCTGCTCATCACCAGAGACAGGCTTCACAACTCTATCCTCTCCCATAAGAAGCCAGTTTGGTGTAGTGGTTAAGTGCGCAGACTCTAATCTGGGAGAACCGGGTTTGATTCCCCACTCCTCCACTTGCACCTGCTGATGTGACCTTGGGTCAGTCACAAGCTCTGGCACAGCTGTCCTTGAAAAAGAGCAGTTTGTGTCAGAGTTCTCTCAGCCCCACCCACCTCACAGGGTGTTTGGTGTGGGGAGGGGAAGGGAAAGGAGTTTGTAAGCCGCTCTGAGACTCCAAGTGAAGGGCGGGGTATAAATCCAATCTCTTCTTCTTCTTCTCTTCTTAAAGTACTCTGCTACGCTACCAGGCATTG